GATCGTCCCTGTCTGTCTCCCACACCCTCTGCTGCACTGCACCCGGTGCCGTGACCCTATCTATCTAAATACAAAAAAGTTTTTATGTCCAAAGTGCTTTCAAGTGTTCACAGAAAGATGGCGATGTTACAGCCCAAAATAATGGTTTTCTCAAATCCACGATGACTCTTTTATTGCTGAACTTAATTGTCACGGGTACGCAACAGAACTTATTGATTTAAGTGTGCACTGTAATAATTGTTATGTTCACCATTACTACTGTTGCACCTCTATTGTTGCACCTCTATTTTATTTGTAACCAAGAAAGTGTCTTTGTTTTTAGGGCTACACAAAAAAACCCAGCATGTTTTAACATATAGTAAGGAAGTGACAGGGAATTAATCAGCAAAAAATAGCCAAACGGGAAAAATTAAGCAAGTCGACAATTTTCCCAGTTTGGCTTAGAAAATCTGTCTATATAATTCCTAATTTAGTGAATAAGCTCAGAATTTCTTCAGTTAGATTTTATCACTAGTGTGTGAGTTAGAGGATGGTTTTCGCTAACTTAAAATCACAAAAAAAAGGCCTAGCAACAAATAATAAAATTCCGTGCAAAAAGTATTTTTGTACTCAGAATGTGTCCGGCTGCAAACAACATTACGAGCACAGAAAAGGAAGTGGTATGACATGTGAGTAGTGGATTAAGTTTGAAATGATGGTCTGCGACTTTGTACTTACAGGCATATAGTTGGCATTAATGTAATCAGAATTTGGATTTCCATCAATGCAGTCCAGTTTGACCCGGGAATGGTCATCTTAAACAAAAAGGTAAATATGGGAGTTAGTAAATATATTAGGATGGTTTGATGGTGAATAATGATCATTAGTTAGGTTATTCATCTTCAATCAGTTATATATGTTAATACCATGTGCCTAGTGGTTTAGTAGTTGAAGTTTAAAGACTGATAACTGTTACATCCTAATACATTGCTGTAACATGCTGGCTAATATTTCTATACTCACATGGCAACACATTAGTGAAACGATTCTTTGCTCGGTTTTCTGGATTTTCCGCCGCTCTTTTTGATTGTTTTGTACCAACGGCACTTAGCTCCTGTATAAAATGAAAGATTTAACTCAGATGGAAAAGTAAAATAGCACATAGAAAAGTAGATTTTATATTTTACATTCTAGATTTAATTCATTGTATAGAAATGTGGGCATTAAGCAATAAGCGAGCCAAACATAGTTACTAGAGAGCTCATAAGTGTTTGAGTACTAGCCTTGTGCACTGCAAGAACATTTTGTTTGTCAGAATTAATTTGTCCAAAAAAAATAATTATTTATTTAGAGTGATTTGGGTTTTGCCCTTGTGGTGTTTCGGTTGAGACACATTTTTGCTATTCAGTTGTTTTGGAAAAACTATTTTGGTGAGTCACAATAATTGTGAAATTGTCCAGTGTTCTGAAAAATATAAATATTACGTATATATTTTTCAGAACAAGAATAGACACAAGTTCACGCCATTTAGTTCACAGATCAAGTAAGAAGAAATAACTAACAGATGGAGGCAGAGGAGAAGCAGCGAAACAAAATCTATATTTGTATGTTATACATTTATTACCTTCTTCTGCACTGTTTGCTTGTTTTTTTTTTCTCTCTCCCCCCTCACTCTGTGATCTTCACACAAGATATTTATGACCCTCTGTGAGAATGGTGTCTATTTTCTATCAAACCTGTGTCTTATCTGCAATCATGTCGCTTTAAACCCTGTATCACCACTCAAGTTTGAATTCTATGTGTCGTCTTGCTCAGAAATGTTTAAGACTTGAGAAAGGGAGGTTCTTCCGAAAGCTTGTCATTACAAAATTCTGTTAGTCCAATAAAAAAGGTATTACAAGATACGGATTTTATCTTTTTTTTTACATCTGCATTACTGAACTAATACGGCTACCATGGGCGTAGGAACCCCAAAAAATCTGGGGGGGATATCATTTTTACTCGCCGAGTATATTTTTATTCCGTAAACTAGGAGTTGTTTATCCCATTGTACAGTGCTACGGAATTTGCTGGCGCTATATAAATGATAAAATAATAACATTAAAGGGTCACTACAGGGAAGGGGATTTACTTACCCAGATACAGCGCCGGGATCCTCCTGATGCCGCGCCCCCTATTTCGTCAAAATAACGAAATAGGGGGTGCGAACAGGGAGCAATAAAACACTGCTATTCAGAAGCGTCATTGCTCCCTGGTGCACATGCGCAGCTTTGCCACACATGCGCAGATACTTCATAGGGCAGCATTCATGTCTCGACTAGGATGCACCTCTAGGGTCCATCTGAGTGTCCAATAGAGGTATTCCTCAGCAGTAATGTAAATACTGCCTTTTTACGAAATGTCAGTGCTTACATTAAAAAGCCTGCAAAGACATGCTATAGACACCAGAACTACTACGTTTAGCTGTTGTGGTTCTGGTGACTATAGAGTTCTTTGAAAATAGAGGGGGGAAAAGAATCATCACAAATGTAAGAATTAAATGTCTGTATCATTATTCTAAAAAGTATTTACATTTTTTTTTAAAAATGCACATTCCTAGCTTAATTTTTAGCACGACATTTGACACAAACATTTTGTACTTTGCAGATTACTTTTTATATATTTTTATACATATACTGCCCCTGACTTAGGGTGACCACATTTCCTAACTGCCATTCAGTGACACTTTCAGAAGTGCATTCCATACATTTTACTACCCGTCTCTACCCCTTCCATTTATATTAGAACCCCACCTACCCCTTCCATGAATATTAGAACCACCCCTACCCCTTCCATGAATATTAGAACCACCCCTACCCTTTCCATGCACACGAGAACCCCACCTACCCCTTCCATGCATATTAACCCCCTACCCCTTCCATGCATATTAGTACCCCCCTAGCCCCTTCCATGCATATTAGAACCCACCCTACCCCTGCCATTCATATTAGTACTCCCCTAACCCCTTCCAATTATTTTTCTACCTTCCCCCTCCTCCCATCCATATTAGTAGACCCCCTAAACCCTTCCAATTATTTTTCTACCTTCCCCTCTCCCCCATCCATATTAGTAGCCCCCATAATCCCTTCCAATAATTTTTTTACCTCCTCCCATCCATATTAGAAGCCCCCCTAAACCATTCCAATTATTTTTCTACCTTCCCCCTCCTCCTATCCATATTAGTAGACCCCCTAACCCCTTCCAAATATTTTTCTACCTCCCCCTTCCTCCCATCCATATTAGAAGCCCCCCTAACCGCTTACATTCATTTTTCTACCTCCCCCTCGCCCCTTCTTTAACCCTTCCATTAATTAACACTAAAAATGCTCAGGCAGCTGTTTTTTTTCTTTTCAGAGGTGACCAGCCCTGCTCTTCCCCCTACAAACTGTTGTTCCCCCCTTTTACCTGACATAGCAGGGGGACCTCTAGACGTCTGGCGGGCGCAGTGTCAGACTGAGCGCCGGATAGTCATGTGACACCCGGCGCTCCTGCGCGGAAGGGGAGGTGCTCCCCATCCCAGTCTGCAGTGTGTGCGGTTCCCTGATGGAGCCACCCGCGACCGGCGGATCTGGGGGGGATTTCTCTATAACCTGTCTCCCCCGCATCATTTGCTGGGGGGGATGTGTCCCACCATCCCCCCCCGGTTCCTACGCCCATGGAACTAGGTACACATTAGCAGAGGCTTGTGAAGGCCTTTTCTCCATGCATCAGGAGTTGAGCATTTCTCCATGCCTCAGGACTGCAAGAAATGCACCGCAGGCCGCAAATATTTCTTTTTTTATATGTCCCAATATTTTGTGGGCTACCCCAATAAAAAAAAAAAAATATATATATATATATATATATATAAACAGTGTTGGCTACCTCATCCTCCTCCTCCACCGCCACGGTCACTGCCTCCTCAACCTATGGGTCACTTAGTATAAACTATGTACACATTAGCAGAGGCTTGTGAAGGCCTTTTCTCCATGCATCAGTAGTTGAGCATTTCTCCATGCATCAGGACTGCAAGAAATGCACCGCAGGCCGCAAATGTTTCCTTTTTTTTATGTCCCAATATTTTGTGGGCTACCACAATTAAAAAAATAATAATAATTTAAAAAAAAAAAACAGTGTTGGCTATCTCCTCCTCCTTCACCGCTGCTTCCACCTACACCGCAACGGTCACCGCCTCCTCAATCTATGGGTCACTTACTATGAACTAGGTACACATTAGCAGAGGCTTGTGAAAGCCTTTTCTCCATGCATCAGGAGTTGAGCATTTCTCCATGCATCAGGACTGCAAGAAATGCACCGCAGGCCGTAAATGTTTCTTTTATTGTATGTCCCAATATTTTGTGGGCTACCACAATTAAAAAAATAATAATAATTTTTTTAAAAAGTGTTGACTACCTCCTCCACCGCTGCTTCCACCTACACCGCTACGGTCACTGCCTCCTCAATCTATGGGTCACTTAGTATAAACTAGGTACACATTAGCAGAGGCTTGTGAAGGCCTTTTCTCCATGCATCAGGAGTTGAGCTCAGTTTGAACAATGAAAGAGAATACCCTGCACTCCAACCCTCACTCAAATGGATAATTCTGTTGATCCTCCTGACAGCCATGCTTTAGATTTTGCTTTATGTTCTCCCTAGCTAAAATCAAAGATTCCATCTAGTGCAATTTTATGGCTCAGCTGTATTTTTAATTTTTGTTATTTTAAGTGATTTCCCTATTCACATTTGTTTGCAGGGCACTTGTCTTACTCTTACCCCCATTTTTCTTCCTTTGGCAGCTCTCTAGCCCTTTACAGTAGTTTTTTAGAGGCATTTTTGTGGCCAAAAGTTCGGGTCCCCATTGACTTCAATGGTGTTTGGGGTCAAGTTCGAGCCCGAACCCAGACTTTTTTCAAAGTTCGGCCGTACCCGCCGTACCCGAATATCCAGGTGTCTGCTCAACTCTACTTATCACCTTTTTACAATCTCGTTGAGAGTGGCTCGCTAGAGAGCGATTCTCCCTCCTTTCAGACTAAATGGTCCTCCGTGTTACAAATTCAGATTTCCAACAAGGATTGGAAATATATTATGGAGCGAGTAATAAAATACTCAATCAGTATGGCCCTTAGAGAGACCTTTTAGAAAAGAGTAGCTATGTGGTGCAGAACTCCATCATTCCTTCACATTCACATCCCCAGTGTTAGTGATAGGTGTTGGAGGTGCATGGAAGAGTAGGGCACTATTTTCCACATATAGTGACAGCGTTCAAAAATACGCTCCTTCTGGCTGTGTGTGCTAGAGATAGTTAAGGTAATTTTACATAAGATCCCAATGATATCACCTTCTTAGGTATTCTTGGGATGACCCAACTCAATTAAGATTCTGAACAACCAAAAACTCATATGGTTTTTAGTGGGAGAGCCCTGATTCCAGCTTTATGGAAGCAACCTGGAGCAATGGATAAGCAGGGTAGAGGATATTACTAGCCTGAAGGAATTAAACTGGTCTGCTAGAGCATTAGAGCAGGGGTTCTCAACGTTAGTCCTCAGGACCCCCTACCAGTCCAGGGTTTAGGGATTACCTGGATGTGTCTAAGGTGTTTAGAAAAAGAAAAAAAAACACCTTAGAGTCTAAGGTGTTTTTTTCCCTTTTTCTAAACACCTGAGACACACCCAGGTAATCCCCAAATCCTGGACTGGTAGGGGGTTCTGAGGACTGGGTTGAGAACCCCTGCATTAGAGGAACCTGGGAATTTAGTGACCTGGGGTGACATATTGGGAAGAGGACAGAGGGATGCAAAGGGGTGTCATCCAGCTTGAAGGGGAGGAGTGTGGAACTTATGAGTACAACCTTTTTAACCAACTGTATGAAAGTCGGGATGAACATCTTATGTTGTGCCTCAGTGTCCTATATAAGAGCAGAATAAATTCTTCCCATAATCCACTTGAAGTATGTTTTATTTATCATTTGCACAGTGGCCTGCGCAAATGCTTAGTTCCATGTGTTTTCGTTTTTTGTATTTTTGTTTCTATTATTTTTAGTGCATAACTTTTTACTTCTGTAAAATACCTTGTTTCTTTGAGCAACTACACATCCAAG